ATTCCGTCTGCTCAATTCTGATGCCTTTTCTCAGTTGTTGTTTTATTAATAGAGAGATACCTCCTCTAGATTTGTTTTTTCTTAATACTGAATAAGTATAATATTCTGGAATGTTAAGCAAGTGTTGTGAATCTGTGGTTAACCATGTTTCACCCAGTCCAATAATGTCATGATTTGTAATTTTCTTTATAAAGTCATTGTCTTCTAGCTTGTTACTAACTCCTTGTATGTTCCAATATGATATAGATAATGCTCTCTTTTGAGCACTGTTTATATTCCTGTATTTTTGTTGATCCATTAGTAAGTTGTTTGTGGTCTGTGACCATCCGTCTCATAACAAGGAGTATACCTTCTGTTATTCTTCTTTTCTTTCCATTGGCTACTGTATCCTGGCTTGTTTATTTGTCTTGTGACACCGATTAGTGGTCCAATCACATCTTTCATATTTTTCACAAAGACAGCTGTCCCACGTTTATTCAGGTGCATAGTATCATATAGGTGGGTTATGTAACTGATGTTATCATTGTCTATGTAGATATAGTTATCACCATTGTTACTCATTACTTTTAACTTCTTATTAAGAACATCTATATTCTCATTTATGTTAACATCATATCTTCTGTGTATTATTGATGATACGCATATTTTGGCTGTTGGATATTTTTGCTTCATGTTGTTAATCAGTTTTCTATATTCCTCCATACACGATTCTATTGTACATCCATCGGAAATGTTATTGGTTCCTACATGGATCACAATGTTCTGGATATTCTCATTAGTTGTCCTTTGAATATATTCATCTATGTCTTTTATCTTGCGACCTGGTAGTGTTTTAATTTGTGTATTCTTGTATATACGTTTTATATCAATATTTTTCAGCATTGAGTCACCCACAATAAGAGTTTGTATTTCTCTGTTCTTCTTTCTATAATCAACCAATTTATATTTATCCTGAATTTCTAGCGCTGTTTGAGATAACGTCTTGTTATTGTTGTTTACCAATGGTAGGTTGTTGAATAGGTTTGGGGAGTGGAAGTCTAGCAGTTTTGATTTCTCTATTTCGCCAATTCTATTTTGTAGTTCTTCATTTTCCAGTTGAATTCGCTCTATTTCTTGTTCTTTCTTAACGAGTTCATCTTTCATCAGATTAGTATTCTGTGATATGTTGTCACACATATCCTTGTATTTCTGAATCTTTGACAATACAACTTCTTGAGCTACTGCAACTGAAACCAATGATGTTTTGTTAAGTTGCACTGTTTTGTCTATGGATATGATATATCTTTCCATTTTGTCTAATTTATTTGTCAACTTATCCATGTCTTCCTTATTGGTGTACATAGCTGTTTGTTGTTTAGCTGATTTAACAACTTCCACCTTTGTTGCCATAAGTTTACAAATTTTTTGAATTTCTTTATTTTGGCGTGTAAGGCTGTCTTGTACTGCTTTTAGTTGGTCTGCTAGTTCTTGACTCATATTTCCTGTTCTCATTATGTTGCAATAATTCTTGTCTATATGTTCAATTGACTTGAACATTTGCATCAATGTGGCAGCCAATTCTGTGTTATCTAATGTTGCGCTATTCAACTTTGGTGTTTTTGAAATTCGTAATGGAATTTTCGATGGTGTATAATCATCCTTTGGTATTGTTTTGTTTTTTTCATTTCTTGGAGTACAGCCTATCATAGTTGAGTGATCCTTTTTTGAAACAGTGGTATCTGTATTACTAATTTCTTTATCTTCCTCACATTGGGGAACTGCTTCTCTTTCCTTGGTTTCTTTGTTTTCGATTTCTTCATCCTCTGATGAATCACTATCAAGTCTATACTTTAGAGGTTTCTGGATATTTCTCTGTGGATACCGTCTCTCTTTATTTTGATCTAGGTTAGTTGTCACCTTTATCTGCAATCTGTCTTGTATATGCATCAAAAATAGTGCTCCCTCATTCAGCATCCATGTGTGATATGAATTTCCTTGAATAAGGAGTGTTCCATTATGGTACACTTTGATGGTGACTGTGTTACCATGTTTGTCAGTTAAACGTAGTTGGGTGGTCTTCTCTTGCTTCTTATCCTCATAGGAATGCTTTTCTTCTGGATATGCTAGTTTCAGACATTGTAGCCACATTTCCTTCATAACATTGCTTGAATGTATGCTTATGGATGATTTGTTGAATTTGATATGAATGTTGTCATTTTCATTAATATTAAATTCATTCAAGAATGATCTTAACTTTTCTTCCTCTTCATTATTTTGCTGAGATTTATCACTAGCATCCTTACTACTGGTGTATTTTGCTATTGTGGTTTTGGATGCCATAATTGTAACCTTTTGTTTTAAGGTTTCTTTGTTCACACTCTTTGGCTGTAATGGTGGATAATGGCTGCTTTTGTTGTCTTTGTCTTTGTTTACATTACACTCTCCATGCAATTTTCTGACCTTGTATATGGTAATTGTTGTCTAAAGTAGTAATTAACTTTCACTTACAGTTCAGTTGGATCAGTATAGTCTGTAGTTG